CAATATCGCCCGCCGACATCAACCATCGGCAAATTCGCCCGCCGCGCGCGCTGGGGAATCCACCTTGGCATCAGCCGCAAATACAAGGCGTGGATCATCCTGGACCTGCTCAGCCAGAAAGTCACGAACGCACGCGACGTTATCTTCTACGAACGGCTCAACCTCGCCCAGTTCCGCGAAGATGAGCAGACGAACGCAAATCGTGTCTACGCCAACGACGGACACAACTATGCCACGCCCGAGGACGAAGCCGCCGCAGCCATCCTGGGAGCAGGACACCAGAGGCGAATTCACAGCAGGTGATCGCCACAGCAGCGACGATGACGATGAAGACCCCTCAGAAGGAGGAGTCGGCGGAGCAGGAGGAAGCAGCAGAGGCGCAGCATCGCCACCGCCACCTGAACCAGAGAGTGTTTAGGACAGCACCGTCACTTCATTCCCCAACACCGCCACGACAGCACCGTCTCAGGACTGCATCTGCTAGGACTCCACACCGCCACGTTAACAGCGCCACGCGTCATCGAACCAAAGAACCCGCGACAAGCGCTTACGGGTCCCCACAGCAAGAAGTGGCGCGAGGCAATGGATGGAGAAATCAAAGCACTCGAATCTCGTGATACCTGGGTGCTCGTCGACCGAGCAGCAATCAAAGGAAGAAGAATCCTCTCCGGCAAATGGGTCTTCCGCGTGAAGACCGCAGCGGACGGCACGATAGAGCGCTTCAAGGCACGTTGGGTCGTACGTGGCTACGATCAGAGGCACGGCATCGACTTCGACCAAACATTTGCGCCGGTCAGCCGTCACACCTCCGTCAGAATTCTGCTCGCCATCGCTGCCGCAAGACACTTGCCGCTTCGCCAAATCGACGTGAAGAACACATTTCTCTATGCGTTGGTGGACGCGGTAATCTACGTGGAGCAGCCGCACACATACGGCGAAGGCGACCCACGCGTGTGCCAACTGCGGAAATCCCTCTACGGGATCAAACAAGCGCCCAGGCTCTGGCAGCAGTACCTGCACATCATTCTGCTCGAGATAGGCTTCAAGCAACTGCCCCACGATCCCGGAATGTACCGCCAAGACTTCCGCTGCGACTACATCCTGCTTACAGTATTCGTCGACGATCTGCTCTATACAGGGTCAAGCAACGAGCTGCTTGAACAATTCGAAAAGAACTTGGCGGGGCGCGTTGACATTACCTGCAACCATGACGTGAAGCCGTTCCTCGGCCTCAACATCTCTTACGGGCCCGAAGCAATTCACCTCTCAGCAGCCAAGTACGCAAAAAAACTTGGTAAACGCCTCAACATCGCGCCTGCACCGCTCTCCACACCTTACCGCACTCCCGGACCGAACCACAAGCCCGACAACAAGACCCTGTTACCTGCAGGCCTGAACTCTCGTACATCGCGAGCCAGCTGGCTCAGTACTCCCGCAAACCAACGGCATGAGAATCTTCTAGATCTTCAGCGCGCTCAGCAGTTCTTCATCTCCACGCCCAACATTGGGCCCTGCTACTCCACAGTCACCACCCCCTCCTTCAACCTCACCGGCTACTGTCAGAAGTAGTAGTAGAAACAAGAAATGAAGAAAGGAGGGCTTTCACTAGCAAGCAGTTGGATACATATAGCAAACCCTAATTGGGCTGTACTCACTATGGAGTACCCCACTGCAGGCTAGACAATTATAACATTCTGACACACCCCCATAGCCAAAGTGGGGTGTAATCAGCACAACAAGCAAGCATAGTAATAGTTCACAATTACAAGCAAAGCTAGAGGTAATCACAGCGGGCAAGTGAGGAGGAGGAGGAACTGTGGAAGGAGAGAAGATGGGAGGCAACGACTGAAGCTGCAGAGGCACGGGCACAGGAGCTGCTGACTCAGGGTTACCGAAGCAGGGCGACGGACCCACAGTGGCTACCGAAGCAAGGGCGACGGACTACTGGAGTGACTGGCTCCGCAGCTAAGACGAGCGGCAGGAGCAACGGACCCACTGGCGACTGGTGCAACAGGCTCACTGGCTACCGAAGCAAGGGCGACGGACTACAGGCGCTGCAGGCGACACGACAGCTACCTCCACACAACCTCCTCCAACTGACCCACACCCTTGAGACACACCCCCTGCTGAACCCCTAACTCCACTCCCACGTCACCCCCCTTAAACCCTAAACCCTCGGCTCCCACACACCCACCCCCCTCAGCGGTAGCTGCAGCAGTGGGAGACGGAGGAGGAGGAGGAGTAGGGGACGGATCACACACCCGCCACCCCCATACTTGCCACCCCCATACCCCCAAACGTAGGGCAAAAACGGGGGCAGCAGCTGGGGAGGTGTGTGAGCGGAAGCGGGGCGGCGCGCGGGCCCCCAGGGCGCCTCGACGAGTGACGGGAGGGGGGGACGCGCGGCCCCCCAGGGCGCCGCGACGGGTGACGGGAGGGGCGACGCGCGGCCCCCCAGGGCGCCTCGACGAGTGACGGGAGGGGGGAACGCGCGGCCCCCCAGGGCGCCGCGACGGGCGACGGGAGGGGCGACGCGCGGCCCCCCAGGGCGCCGCGACGGGCGACGGGAGGGGGGGGGGTCGACGCGCTAGAGCCCAGGGCGCCGCGACGGGCGACGGGCAGGGCGACGCGCGGCCCCCCTGGGCGTCGCGACGGGCGACGGGATGGCGGGGGGGGGGCGCGCGCGGATCCCCCACGGCAGAAAACCGCCGCGCGCCAGAAACTCGCCGCGCGCCCCGAGCGCACAGCGGGATGAAAACCCTAAAAAATTTCGGGTTTAGGGTTTAGGTGTGTGTGTGTGTGTGTGTGTGTGTGTGTGTGTGTGTGTGTGTGTGTGTGTGTGTGTGTGTGTGTGTGTGTGTGTGTGTGTGTGTGTGTGTGTGTGTGTGTGTGTGTGTGTGTGTGTGTGTGTGTGTGTGTGTGTGTGTGTGTGTGTGTGTGTGTGTGTGTGTGTGTGTGTGTGTGTGTGTGTGTGTGTGTGTGTGTGTGTGTGTGTGTGTGTGTGTGTGTGTGTGTGTGTGTGTGTGTGTGTGTGTGTGTGTGTGTGTGTGTGTGTGTGTGTGTGTGTGTGTGTGTGTGTGTGTGTGTGTGTGTGTGTGTGTGTGTGTGTGTGTGTGTGTGTGTGTGTGTGTGTGTGTGTGTGTGTGTGTGTGTGTGTGTGTGTGTGTGTGTGTGTGTGTGTGTGTGTGTGTGTGTGTGTGTGTGTGTGTGTGTGTGTGTGTGTGTGTGTGTGTGTGTGTGTGTGTGTGTGTGTGTGTGTGTGTGTGTGTGTGTGTGTGTGTGTGTGTGTGTGTGTGTGTGTGTGTGTGTGTGTGTGTGTGTGTGTGTGTGTGTGTGTGTGTGTGTGTGTGTGTGTGTGTGTGTGTGTGTGTGTGTGTGTGTGTGTGTGTGTGTGTGTGTGTGTGTGTGTGTGTGTGTGTGTGTGTGTGTGTGTGTGTGTGTGTGTGTGTGTGTGTGTGTGTGTGTGTGTGTGTGTGTGTGTGTGTGTGTGTGTGTGTGTGTGTGTGTGTGTGTGTGTGTGTGTGTGTGTGTGTGTGTGTGTGTGTGTGTGTGTGTGTGTGTGTGTGTGTGTGTGTGTGTGTGTGTGTGTGTGTGTGTGTGTGTGTGTGTGTGTGTGTGTGTGTGGTGTGTGTGTGTGTGTGTGTGTGTGTGTGTGTGTGTGTGTGTGTGTGTGTGTGTGTGTGTGTGTGTGTGTGTGTGTGTGTGTGTGTGTGTGTGTGTGTGTGTGTGTGTGTGTGTGTGTGTGTGTGTGTGTGTGTGTGTGTGTGTGTGTGTGTGTGTGTGTGTGTGTGTGTGTGTGTGTGTGTGTGTGTGTGTGTGTGTGTGTGTGTGTGTGTGTGTGTGTGTGTGTGTGTGTGTGTGTGTGTGTGTGTGTGTGTGTGTGTGTGTGTGTGTGTGTGTGTGTGTGTGTGTGTGTGTGTGTGTGTGTGTGTGTGTGTGTGTGTGTGTGTGTGTGTGTGTGTGTGTGTGTGTGTGTGTGTGTGTGTGGTACAATATCATTTGATGTGATTTTCTGCATTTCTGGTTCTTTCCGTCATAACAATACACAAACTGCACTATATATATTATACTAGGAGAGGACAATATCGGCATTCACTCCCGCCATCCACAACCACGTTCGTTGACTCCCCCACGTCGGAACTCACCAGGAAACCCGACATTTCGCTGATGCCGTGCCTTGCCATGCCACGCTCCTCGACTCCTGACCCCTTGTTCCATTCGGACCGCAATGCGCGGCTTGCGGTGTATAGCGCGCTGTGATGCTCCTGCTCCCATGGTGCCACATGCCCTGGGTTCCTCCTTCAACAACGCCAACTGGTGGAAAACTGTGCGCCACTTAGCACAGCAATCCGGTATCTGTGCTGCTAATCTGCTGGACCATGAGGGAGCCCGATGACCGACAGTTCACTTTCCGGCGACCTTTAAAAGCACCGATCGTCCGTAAACGTGTAAGGTGTGCCCTTATCTCAAACCCATATTGTCGCGAAGGAGATTTGGGACGGTATAACATCTAGAGACACTACAAGGGCTTCGAATTGCATCCTTTGCAAACTAGAGGTCAGCTTATTCATCGTCGACGAAGATGAACGCGCACAGTCATGTCTTGGTAGTGGTGGCGCTTTTGTGCCTCGCAGGCCTCACGTATGCCAGGCTCCCAGATCCCCAGAAAGGTACGTTTCGAGGGGGAGAATTCGTCAAATTTGTCTAGGATTCACCAGAGCTTCCGCGCTGATTTGTGCATGCATTCGCCTCATTTCGCGCCTTTCCTCCCTGCCCGTCGCCTACGACCAGGGTGTGATCTATCGGACGGCCGATGGGTTCGCGCCGCCAACCGGTTCCCACGTTACACGGGGCTTTCGGGAGAGTGGAACTCATGTCCGTACATCAGGTCGGAATACTCGTGCCAGCGCAACAACCGGCCTGATAACTACTACACGCAGTATCGGTGGCAGCCCGACAAGTGTGTCATCTCTTACTTCAGCGCTCCCGGCTTTAAATACATGATGCGCAAAAAGGTGAGAGCCGCCTCGTCGTCTTATTCGCCTCATTCGTTTCCTCCGGAGCGCATCGTCCCTCTCACGAGCGGCATTTCCTTGGATTTCTCTGACCGTGTGTGGTGGACGTGCGTGTGTTGGTGGCAGAACATGCTGGTGGTGGGCGACTCCATCATGATGAACTTCTACGAGTCGCTGCTCTGCCTCATCAACACAGGCGGATACAAGGGCGAGGTGCGTTGCGCATTCGCGACCAGCGTCCACTTGCACCTCTTGCGACATTTTTTTGAGGGTTTAGGGTAAACCGCCGCATGGTACTGCCGCTATTCCAAGGTTCCTGCTTTCATCTCATACACCCCTCCCTTCTCCAGGAGTTGTCCCTTTCCACCAATGCCACATTCGATATCCGCCGCGTTCGCTTCTCCGCGTTCTCCGGCTCCATCGACTTCTACTTCGCGCCGTACCTGGTGCGCGCCAGCAAGTTATCCAAGGACAGCAGCGGCAAGGCGGGCGGCGGGCACGCGCACGACGTGTACGTGGACGAGGTGGACCCGACGCTCGCCAAGATCCTGCCCGACTATGACGCCGTGGTGCTCGGCACCGGCATCTGGTGGCTGCAGAACAAGCCCGGCTTTCGCGAGCCCAACCAGTTCTTCGCCAACGGCGAGCACCGCAACCTCACCAACTCGGCGGCGCACACGTGGGGCATCTCGACCGTCGCGAAGTATATTAAGTCGAGCCACTACAGCGGCGTGCCATACTTCCTCTCCTACTCTCCCAAGCACGGCGGCCGCGGCGCACCGCAGCCTGGCGTGAAGAACAAGAAAAAGGGACCTGAATTCCCGGAGTGGGTGGGCGCGTGCGGTGCGCGCGGCCCCATCGACGAGGAGGAGAAGATAAAGTACGTGAACACGCTGCCCTCCGCCAAGGCGTATGCCGACGCGCAGCAGGTGACTCTGGCGGGCACGCCGGTCCGCTTCCTCCCCGTGACGCAGATGAGCGAGGTACGCCCCGACGGGCACCTTGGCGTGTGGTGGCAGCCGCGAAACCAGACGGGTCCGGACTCGCCAGGGGGCAGGAAGGAGTCGCCCTTCACTGGTGATTGCACGCACTGGTGCCTGCCTGGCGTGCCAGACGCCTGGGTGGATGTCCTCTTTACCAACATGAAGTTCGAGAATAACTTCCAATAGAGGTTCCTAGTGGCATTAAAGGCAGAATAATTGTACTTTATTGACTTGTGCTGCCCTATGGTTTGGGATAGATACGGAATAGATTCCGTTTTGTGATTCTCTAGATTGAGATTGCCAACAGTCTGGCTATTAACCGTCACTAGTTCACCACAAACGAGCACTGGTAATGTACCCCCCAATTTTCAGTTCCCTCTCACTCCATTTTGAGCCAACACTTCGCTCCTCACTCGCACTGTGGGCAGCTAGGGGAAAACCGGGCTTGAAAGCTGTACTAGTATTATCACCTTGGGCGGGTTTATTGCAGTTCCCAATACTTAGATAGCCCAATTTTTTTTGTACTCATTTGCAGTAAAGATTATGTATATTGTCGTGGGCCTGGCCGTTGCTGGTGACCCTTGACTACTGCTACAATCAAGTGCCACTGGGCCTGTTTAGAAACGAGCTGTCCAGTGTGTATCAAATCATGTGTATGTAGGCTTCTGATTGCTCCTTCCTGCCATGCTAGACCAACAATGATGGAGGCTGGATTGATCCTGGTGCATGAGTACTGGTACCTCCTCCTCACATTTCTGGTGTTTGTGCATGGAGGAGATAAGCAGAATTCAAAGTTGGATTCATCACCAGGCTGTTTCAAAAATATAATGTGATCTGGTGCATCTAACAGCATCACAGTGTATTAATAATGCGTCCATGTCTCCTAGTCGCCTCTATACTTGTGTATATGTTTAATATTGATAACTGCAGCGTAGCGCTGGCCAGGTGGGCAGTATCAGGTCCTGGCAAAACGGTTAGGCTTGCTGTAATCTACTGGTTAGGAAAATGGGACACTGCCTTGTCGAATTATTTTCTAGGCCTCTTTCCATTGTGTATTTGTGTTACGAGTGCAATTGAGTGAGCGAGCGAGAATTGCACTATCGAAGCAAAAGTACAATGAGCGAAGGCATGAGCGAAGAATATATAGCGAAACTACAGTGGTAACGGTAATGTGTGGAAATTGGGGTGCGCGACGGGCCTGGTGCCGAGGTTGGGAAAGTGTCGAGGCGGAGGTCCGGAGCGGGGGTTACCAACCGAACCGTGAGGTTAGGTCGCGTCGTGAACGGTGGCGGGAATGGTGTCGAAGCGAGTGTCGCGAGTGGTAACGGATTACTGTTGGGTGCTGTGGGTGGGAACAGTGGTGTACGCGCTGAGCAGGGTCGCGTAGTAAGGAAAAGGAATTTTCCTTACACTACCCCCCTCCCCAAGGAGGCCCCTCTTACGAGAGCGCGTGTACATCTCGGAAGTTTCGGCTTCGCAGATACTAGGTGAGGACAGGGTGATTCTCAATTCTATCCAGGGGGACCCAGTTGTCTTCGGTGGGCGTGCGGTCCTTCCAGCGGATCAGGAATTCGATTCTGTGGGCTCCCCGTGGGTCACGTACTCGATGGCTTAGGATTTTCTCAGGCGTGATGATTGGCTCAGTCGCTGGTCGGGTCATGCTGGCGGGGCGGTTGCGAGGCAGTTGGCTGGTGGATGGTACGTATGGGCGAAGCAGGCTGACGTGGAATGACGGGCTGACGTACCAGTCAGCAGGTAGGAGGAGGTGGGCGGTGACGGGTGTGATCATGTGGCTGATGCGAAATGGCCCGCAATATCGGGGGCGGAGTTTCGGGGTGATGGGCAGGCGGAGGTTTTGGGTGTCGAGTAGGACTAGGTCGTCTGGCTGGTAAGTGACGGGGCGGCGGTGTCGGTCGGCGTTGCGCTAAGCGATGATGTTTGATTTTTTTATTGCTTCTGCTGCTCGGGTCCGTGCTGCTTGTAATATCTCTGCGAATTGTTGTGCGCGTGGGACTGGGTTGTCGGGATTCGGGGTCATGGGTACTGTGGGGTCTTGTCCGTAGTTCAGGTAAAACGGTGACTGTTGGGTCGTGGCGGATGGTGAGTTATTGTATGCGAATTCGATGAGTGGCAGTTGCTGTTCCCATGTGGTCGGGTCGTCGCACGTGGCCCGGATGAGCTGTTCCATGGTCTGATTTGTCCGTTCTGTCTGTCCGTCGGTTTCGGGGTGGTACGATGAACTGAATTGCAGTCGCGTGCCGAACTGCTGCCACAGGTTCCGCCAGAAGTTGCTGGTGAATTTTGTGTCTCTGTCGCTGATGATCGATGCTGGTATCCCGTGTAGTCGTACAACGGTGGAGATGAAGAGGCGGGCTGTTTCTTCGGCTGTGATTGATTTCTTGCAGGCTGCGAAGTGTGCCATTTTCGTCAGTCGATCGACGACGACCAGGATCGCGTCATTCCCACTCGCTCCGGCCGGTAACCCTGTGTCGAAGTCCATCGTCACCTGCTGCCAAGCACGCTCTGGGGGTGGTATCGGCTGCAACTGTCCTGCCGGCCGCTTCCGTGACGACTTAATGATCTGGCAAGTGGGACACGATGCCACGTGTCGTTGAACGTCGGTCAACATTTCGGGCCAGTAATAATACCGCTGCAGCTGCTGCCGTGTTTTCTCTACCCCGAAATGTCCTGAGGTAACTCCGTCGTGTGCCTCCTGTAACAGTAATTCCCGTAGCAGTGTGTACCCTGGTACCCAGATGCGGTCGGTCCCGGCTTTTACGTAATAGACTCCTTTGGCTGCTGCGAACTGCTGCGAGTTTCCTCCTGTGAAGAATGGGTCCGTTTGGTATCCGTGGGTAAATAGTCCTGTCAGTAGCGGGCTGGTCTGGGCGAGTAGTATCGCGTGGATCTGGGCAGTGGGTCGGGTCAGTGCGTCGGCGATGTTCGAGGCTCCCTTTTTATAGGTGACCGTGTAGTGGAAGTTGGACTCGAGGAAATCGAGCCAGCGAATCTGTCGTGGGTTGAGGTGGGGTTGTGCGCGGAGGTACTTGTCAGAACATATATATAGCTTATGCTGTTGTGTAGGCTATAGTGGGGTATCCCATAGGGGGTACAACCCAATTAGGGTTTCCCATATGTACTCACTTCATTCATAGTTCATTCATTTCTCGTTCTACTTTTCTCATGGTATCGAGCAGGTTCCCTCGTGGGAACTGTTCCTAGGGCCCACCGTTTTTTTTTTTTTTTTTCCTGCCCGGAGCGCACTCTGCCCCTACCCGAGTCGCGCTCCCCTCTCTCTTGGCCCCTAGTGGCCCCTTTAGCCGCCCGTCACGGCCCTTAGACGCCCGCGCGCCGCCCGTCCCGGCCCCTTAGACGCCCGCGCGCCGCCCGTCCCGGCCCCTAGACGCCAGTGCGCCACCCGGCCCGGCCCCTAGACGCCCGCGCGCCGCCCGTCCCGGCCCCTAGACGCCCGCGCGCCGCCCGTCCCGGCCCCTAGACGCCCGCGCGCCGCCCGTCCCGGCCCCTCGACGCCCGCGCGCCGCCCGTCCCGGCCCCTCGACGCCCGCGCGCCGCCCGTCCCGGCCCCTCGCCGCCCGTGAGCCGCCCGTCCCGGCCCCTAGACGCCCGCGCGCCGCCCGTCCCGGCCCCTAGACGCCCGCGCGCCGCCCGTCCCGGCCCCTCGACGCCCACGCGCCGCCCGTCCCGGCCCCTAGACGCCCGCGCGCCACCCGGCCCGACCCCTAGACGCCCGCGCGCCGCCCGTCCCGGCCCCTCGACGCCCGCGCGCCGCCCGTCCCGGCCCCTCGACGCCCGCGCGCCGCCCGTCCCGGCCCCACGCCGCCCTACCTGCGGCCTACTCGCCGCCCTACCTGCGGCTCGCCCGCCGCCCTAACTGCGGCCCGCCCGCCGCCCTACTTGCGGCCCTACCGCCGCCCTGCCTGCGGCCCGCCCGCCACCCTACCTGCGGCCAGCCCGCTGCCCTACCTACGGCCCGACCGCCGCCCTACCTGCGGCCCAACCGCCGCCCTACCTGCGGGAGCCGCCTAGCAGCAGAACCGCCGGGAGCCGAGCCGCCCTGCCGCCGAGCCGCCCGGGAGCCGAGCCGCCCTGCCGCCGAGCCGCCCGGGAGCCGAGCCGCCCTGCCGCCGAGCCGCCCGGGAGCCGAGCCGCCCTGCCGCCGAGCCGCCCGGGCGCCGAGCCGCACTGCCGCCGAGCCGCTGAGCAGCCGAGCCGCCCTACTGCCGGGCCGCCCGACCTGCCCTGTCCGGTGAGCACAGCCCCACTGTCACTGCGTGCCCTTCCCCTACTGCTTGCACTGCTCGTCTGTCGTCGTCATGGCTACCCCTAGTGTCCTCGCTTTTGACGCTGAGGGTCGAGCCATTGACTTTGAGGTCTGGGTCGACGACCTGCAGCTGTTCTTACAGTGCGATAGGGCGGACGGTCTTTCCCTCTTTGACCTCACCTCTGGCGCCTCTCCTGCCCCTGCTACTGATGCTGACCCCACTGTTCGCTCTCAGTGGGCCACCCGCGATGCTGCTGCACGTCTTGCTGTACGTCGCCACCTGCCTACCACTGAGCGCGCGCACTTTAGTCAGTACAAGAGTGCTCAGACCTTGTACGACGCTGTAGTTGCGCGCTACTCTTCCCCTGCCACTGCTGCCCTGAGCCGCCTCATGCTACCGTACCTCTTTCCTGACCTTGCTGCCTTTCCCACTGTCGCTGACCTCATTACGCACCTCCGCACTAGTGACACTCGCTACCGCGCCGCCCTTCCTGCTGAGTTCTGCGCCAAGAACCCCCCCCCCATGTACATCACTCTCTATTACATCGTCACACGCCTCCCTGACTCCCTTCGCGTAGTCAGGGACCACTACCTCTCGGTCTGTCCCACCACTCTCACTGTCGACCTCCTCGAGAAGTCCCTCCTGGCGGCGGAGAAGAGCATCGTCGCTGTAGGAGCCTCTCGTGGTGACCCTCGCACCCCCATCTTTGAGGGGTGTTCTCCTTCCCCCCTGCTGCCCTCTGTTGCCTCTGCTGCTGCTGCCGACCTGCTTGGTCTTGAGTCGGTCTGCGCGGCGTCTGCCCCTAGCGGGAGACGCCGCCCTGGCAGGGGCAAGGGGGGCAAGGGCGCGGGTGGAGCTGGCGGGGGCGGTGGAGGAGGCGGTGGAGGCGGAGGAGGGAGTGGG